CACTTTTGTTTGCAGACAATAAAAAGCAATAAAATAAGTTTTTAACACAAGTACGTATGTGTTTTTGCTGTTGTTATGTAAAAAAATACAACAGACAGAAAGGAATTCGCACTGCTTACCAATTAAAATAAAATACAAAATACGTATACCTATATACATTTAAATATTATAAATACCTAAGTAATTTTCTCACAAATTATATTTGCAACAGTGTGCACACATGTCTTTTTGTCGTTTCAAATAAAAATTTAAATACCACAACCCTTGCTTCGGAAAATATGATTTTCGTGAAATGCACTCTTTCATCCGCTCCTTGTATCTTAGACAAGTATGCTAAATTTTTGTATTAAGATTGTTAAATAAATAAAAATGGTTCAACGTATTCTAAAGGGAACGTCTCATCTGTTCCATCCTGCCTCAGTGAGCTTGAACTATGTTATTGAAACATTTTCAGATATATTGGACTAGAGCAGGGGCCGGCAACCTGCGGCTCGCGAGCCACATGCGGCTCTTTGGATGTGAAGCTGCGGCTCTTTAATTCCAAAAGCAAATATTATTTATCGCTTTTCACCGCATCCCAATAGTCTTTCCAGATTGCTACAGCGAGGTGAAGAAGTTGGCATTTAGAGTGCTGACTGCTGACTATCTTCGGATCGAAATATTCGTGAAGCACGCGTTCTCTTGCAATAAAATTAAAAGTTAAGAAGCCAATTAACAAATGAAAATTTAGAGTCGTGTTTGAAACTTGAAACAACAAGTTATGAGCCAAATTTATCCAAACTTTCTAAAACCATGAAAAGCCAACGCTTCCATTGAATTGCTCAAATATTGTTGTGAAAAACACTACTTATAAGTATATGAATAAATAGATATTTTTTTTATGAATAAATAGATTAGTTTTTTTTATCAAAAAACTTTATTTATGCGAGCACTATTTATTGTTGGCAAGAAAAAAATTTGTGGCTCTTTAAAAACTAAAATTTTGTAAATTGTAATTTTTGACTCTTCTGATTCAAAAGGTTGCCGACCCCTGGACTAAAGGTATATCGGATAGTAATTGTGTGGGGTACCAGATAATAACCGGGTTCATGTCTTTATTCGGGAGAGGTTTTCCATTAAATGTCAATCTCACAGACGTTCCGAACCACATTAATTCCCGTTAAAAAAATCGTTTAAACACTAAACCAATGAAATTTTAATTCTTGATAGACGGATTTCGACGAGAGGGTTGAGTTGAAACCATTGAAACAAGCCTACAATGTTTATAAATACTGAAAGTCTGCAAGTTGACAAAATCGTTATCGCAGTTATAGTTAATCAAAACCTGTTATACTAACAAGTTCCAGAAATTGTAGACAATTCGGCCAAATATACATGTTCTTGTTCATGAGAAAAAGAAAGCAACAAAAACAAATTAGGTCATAGAACCTACCCCAATACAGTCTTAATTACCAATTTTCATTACACAGGCTTTTTGTTATACTTATTCAATTATTAGTGCTAGTGTTTGTTTTTTATTAGTTCATCGACAGAACTAATCAGAGGCGTCTTTATCCGGTACCTAGCCGTATCCTAAAAAGAGTGCCGGATCCGCCGGATACAGTTCCAAACCTGGTCATAACGAAGAGAATTTATATGTTGATTTTAAGATATAAGCAACGACTTTTATATATTTAGAAATGGGATGTAATTACTTTAATCTTATATTGAAAGTGGATTATACAATTTAGAATGATTAGCCAACAATTTAACTATTGATTATTAGATAATTGGGGAACGTAGAAATAGCGGGGAACTGACAGGGTGAGTGAAGACGGTAAGCTGTCTCACCACCTGCATCTTCGTGATCTTGAATTCGACTCTAGACTTTCGACTAGACTTCTTATAATTATGGATTCCGCTATTTAAACTGTTTCTATTTAGGTGTAAGTGTTAGCTTGCAGTTTTAAATAAATAATTTAGATGTATAAACTTTGTACCAGTGACTTAAATGTAAATTTATGGATAATATACAACTGTATGTACCTACGTACTTATTTTCAAATCCGCTGTTTAATACAAAACTAATATATGCTCATAACTCATAACAACTGCAAGCAAAGTAACATATCAGAAATCGCGTGTTTATTTTTTACTGTTAACAATTAAAAATTTCCCTTTTCACTCTTTTAATTGTTGTTGTTTTAATGTAGTATGGTTATACTATATAAATTTCTTAGATTCGTTGAAACTGCAGTGTGAAAATTTATTTTTTCTCTTGCTTTTCCTATTTCATGGTTAGTGCACACCCAAAGCACCCTTTTAGCAAAGTAAAAGGCCAGAAGTACTTCTTTTTGGTTTTGGCTCAGAGTGAGACAAAATTATCATTTTATTGATCTTGAAATATGTATCATAATTTAAGTGATAATACAGAACTATGTAAATGTGTTTGTTAAGCTTTAAAGCAGATCTATGTATGAATAATGAATATTAATGTTTTTCCGAAGCTACAAATATTTGATATTGTACATATAAACCAATTTTAAGTGCATCAGTAAAAACAGTGGAATTATATACGTTGCTGCATATAAATATTTTTACTGATAAATTTATTGTACTGAATTTGTATTCTTGGCAACAGGGGACACATTTATCATAGATAGCATATATGTAGTTATATATATTTGAGATATTATTTGACAGGTACCGCAGTATTTTTCCATTTAAAATGTGTCGTTAAAATTGGAATAAATCTATTATTTATCTATACCTCAATGCGTGATACCAAAATGCTCTATTTTGTGTTCAATCACGTATCATCTAAAGTTTTAAAAGCAAAACGTGATAAGCACATAACTAAATTCAAAAATAAACCTTCGGTCTAATAACTATTCGCTAATGAATAATAGAAAATATATAAATTTATCAAATAACAAAGGTCACAACATAATAAAGAAAAACCACGTTTTTTGTTATGTTTTTTTATAGACGATAGTTAAACAAAATCGCAAATATTCAAGGAAAATTATAAATAATGTTTATTGAAAAATAATATAAAAATATAATTCTAAAATGACAAAAAAGATAAACAACAGGTCAAAAGTTTTACGCACCTATATATGAATTGAGAAAAATGTTAGTTAAACATACCACAGCAAGATTAATCACAGTATTTGATGTATGTGAAAACAAGTAGCAGATGTCTCAAGACAAGATCAGATAAGAAACTTACGGGAAACGTCCGGAAATTTTCAGAAAAATTCCTTGACCGTATAGTGCCCAAACCAAAGGATACTCGTATAATCATCGATATTTAACGGTGATATAAAAGTCAATTGTTGAAGAAATTACTGCAATTAGTGTAATTCTGTTGCTTATATGTATACATCATTATCATCTCCACTCTTTCCTATCCTGAGCTAATCTTCACATTTCCCTAAAACTAGAACAACCCACATCCTTAACTATTTGCGAATAGTAATCTAATCTAGGTCTACCTCTACCCCTCCCAACTCCTGTTTCTGCCTCTTATATGTCTCTGACTAGACCTTCATGCCTGAGAAGGAGTCTTATTAACCTATCTCGCCTATTTGTTATTGACTTCCATGAAGTCCTCTGTTCTCCTATTCTTTCTAATACCTCTTCGTTTCTAATCTTCTCTATCCACAGTATCCTCATCATTCGGCGGTAACGCCACATTTCGAGCGCTTCTAACCTTTTGTTTTCCGCCTCGCCCACCGTCCATGTTTCGCAGGCATACAGCGCCGCTCTCCAAACATACACCTATTAAAATCTTTTTCGAATTTCTAAATTAATCGTTCGCGAACATAGAAGTGACTTTTTTTATTGAAGGCGATTCGACCCTGCGCTATCTTCTACTTTATATCCCTACTACTCCTTCCGTTCTGACTTATCTAACTTCCTTTTTAATATTCGCTCTTTCCCTACTTTTTTTTCTCTTGCATATCAGTATTTTTGTTTTACTTTTCATACAATACTGTTTTGTCAATGCCGCATCCATTTTATTTAAAGCTATCTCTACCTCCTCCTTCCTAGATACTTATACTGCCATACCATCTGCAAATCTAAGCATACTAATCTTTTGCCCCGGTATATCTATCCCTACTGTTGTACTGAAATATTCACTACAATAATACGTCCTATTAATAAAATGATGATAAACAGGGGAGCACGATCACTCAAAAAATGTCAGTTAAGCTATAAAATATGACCATTTTAACGTATCTTTATCTAATTTATTCAAGAATCCTTGCTGTTAGACAAAGAAGCATTTTGCTCAGTTTTAGCGAGCGAAGTAGGTACAACACCGCGAACTATCCGAATATATGCGCCCGTTAAACAACATTCGTAAGAATAATTCGAAGTGGTCTGTATTCTGTCGAAACTGCCAGACGCGGATCGCGATTTCGATCTTTTTGGATCTCATTAGCGCGTCGCAGACAGCTCCAGCAGAACACAGACCAACTTTTACCTGCTGTCTTAAGAGTGCGTTTTAAAAAATACCACAAATGGCGCGGTATACTCAGGTTAATGAGGGAACAACATTTGATGTTGTCTTCACACCCTCGCCGGGAATCGAACTCGAGACTTTTTGGCTTTACGCACCAATGCTCTGACCACTAAGCTACGAAAGATGACAACAGCAACAACGACAAACAAAGGTCAAGATTGATATTATTTAATCACACCAATTTATCTTTAAGCTAATTTAAAGCAACAACAAACAAACAATGGCGACATTAAAATGAGATACGTATTATTATAACAAATAGGTATTTGGCACAATGTTCAAACGTTTAAATCAATACCCACAGTCTGCAGATATTAACATGAATGAATATCTGTAATTCCAGAATTTTGTACACGGCATTATGTTATGGAATATAACAACGAGAAAACCTTCTCGCTTTGGCGCAATCAGAAGAACATATATACTTATTCAATTGTAAAAATAGTCGTACAAACAGCAATTGTCTTCTATTACGTTCACTTCGAAATTGTTCGGTAAATAAGTTTAGAAACTAGAAACAATTTTCAAATCACTTACCGAAAACTGGAACATGGATGTATGACCCAATGACCGGAGGCCTTTTGTCGGATTCGTTCTTTCATAAGCGCCTTCTTCGATCCGAAAAGTTTCATTGCCAACTTATTATCCGTTGGTTGGAAGAGAGCTTGCAGTTGGTTTTTGAGGAAGCTTTGCTTGACCTCCGCCGACCCCAGCGGGGTCGGCCCTGGTTCTTCCTTTGGGGTGCCGTAAAGCGACACATCGTCCACCCCGAAGTGCACTTTTCCACTGCCTTTGTAATTCATATCGTTGGATAAAAAATCCTGAAACAGAAAGCCATATATCAATAAAATGTTGCATATAAATGTACGTAAACAACGTAACAAATAACACCAATTTCGACAATCAAATCGAAGAGGGTGTCAGATATTTATTTAGGATTCCAGAAATAGTATAGTATAGTATTTCAGTATAGAATGACAGGATCAACTTTTCAGAAATCTAAAGGGAGTTTCGTAAATAAACAAACTTATAACACAATTTTATGATCATAATCTAAAGTACACTTCGTTTACTTTCTCTAGCGATGTGACCTTCAGTTTGACCAGCGCAAAGTAGAAAAGAACAGCACTAGGCCAGAAAAGGAAGCAGACAACTCACGGCCAAACTCTTAACCGGTGAGGAGCGTATAATCCGTACAGTACTGCACGGAAAAATTGACCATTTTATCCATTACAATTGCATTGCTCAAATGTGCTGTTATTGGTACCATTTACTACTGAAAATATCAACGATACGTTTATTTATATTTGAAGACATATTAAAGGCTTTAACGATTGTCTTCGACTCGCACTACTATCATAATTGAACAAAACTTTTGGCAGGTACTGTATGAAAAAGTATGTTTAATGAACAAGAGTCGAGAGTATAATGAGCTTTTTCCTCCCTACCTACGATTTTGTCAGCGCGCATCCAAGACATTGGAAGGGGCTCATCGCTAGAGAAAGTAAATGAAGTATAATACACTTGCACTTGATAATACCTAATTTCGATAATTTTCAAACTAATTCTTCTTTGTGAAGCATGTATGCAGAACGCTTAAATAAATTTGCTGTATTAAACATTGAAGACGAAATATTGCTAAAAATAGTGATTTTTCTGAAGTAATCACTGTATTAGCAAAACAAAATCACACAACAAATTCATTAGTAATAGAAGGTGTAACAGAAATAAGTGCCGAGCTTTGGAGAGTGTAAACTAGATGCAATAAACAATCGCACGGCGAGTTTAGCAATGTGGTTAAGGGTAAAAAAAAAATTAAGAAAATTACAACAATTTACAATCCGAATTCGGTCCTGTGCGTGAATTGACAACATAGTTGTCTACCTAATAGCGTAGTGCAATAAAAGCTCTACAGCTATATGGATGGAGAATGTAAATCTATGAACACATTAAGGTAACAATTTTTTACCATCGATGTTCTAGTATTTCTGATGCCTTTCGGAAAAGAGATTCTTCAGTCTGTGAAAACCACTCATTTATCGTACATATCACCAATTTATCTGGCCAAAATCATTTTCCATGTGAAGATTTTTTATGTTTTGGAAACAGTCGGTAATCGCTAGGAGCCAAATCTAGCGAACATGACGAGTGATCAACAAATTCGAAGCTCGTCTTACCCTTTGTAATTTAACTGTAACGCAATGGTGAATGCTTGATTGGATGCATTATCCTGTATGCGGAACTTCCCCGACGTTTTTCTTTTATTAACTGGTGTTATTTAAATGACATAATAAACACCTGTAATTGTGATCCCTTTCTGCACAAATTCCATCAAAATAACACCTTTACAATCCAAAACACAGATAACAATACCTTCCTTGCTGATGGTTGCATCTTCGGAGGTGGTGAGCTCTGATGGGTCCATTCCTTGCACTATATTTTGGTCTCTACATTGTAATGATGGATCAAGGATTCATCGATTGTCACTAGCCTTGTAATCCAAGCAAAATTTCCTTATCTTGCCTGTAAACGCAAGTATTTAATTATCGCTATTTGCCAGACACGCTTCGTTTTGAAAGTTGACCGTCTACTGTAGCTTGGATTTAACAAGTCCAGACTGTTTGCATATAGTGGAGAAGATACTGTAATGTTCGTAGGTTTAACAAATTAAATTTTAAGAAGAAAACTATTTATTTACACTAATTACTATTAAACTTATCCTCTTCACTTCTACAACGGTCAATTTATTTCTACTACTCTCTCGGCGATCGTCTCTTCCTTTATATACTCTTTTGTGTCCTTTCTGGAACCTTCTTGAGCCGTTCGGAAAAGTTTCGTTTTCTTTGAACTGTTTAATTGCTTTCCCGGAACGCAGGTACGACACACACGTTTACAGATACGGCGCACATGAAGAAAGGCGCCCGCGGCTAGTCGGCGAATCGATAAGCCGCTCACACCCACGTATGCCTGATCGCACACAAACACGCTCGTGCTCGCTACAATAAAATTGGAAGCTCACCTACCCTCTTGCCAGGTAACACATGGATTACGAAGGATATTCAAATGGACTGTATGGACTATGGAGCAATAATTTTCCTAGGCTTCTAATCCCATAGGCAGTTACTAAAGGTACTATGACCTGGTACGTTCGTCACTCTATCGTCAATTTGCAAATGTAGGAGTCTTAGCATAACTAGCTCGCATTTTTGACACCAGGATAGTGAATGCGCTTTTAAATGCGCGTCCGTGACTAGGATTCCCCGCAAAGCGCGAAATACATCCTAAAGTATATTGTTTTAAGACGGTGATTTTATGGGAAAATCCGGGAATGTAAAGGACAAGAAACAAATGCAAGGAGTAAAACAACTAGGAAAGAAATTGAGTCAAATAAAATCTCCTCGTACTTAATCAAATTAAAAAAGGGAAAATAAAATAAAATATGAAGACTAAACGCAGACTTTTAATTTTGCACTGTTAGTCTGCATATATAGCAGGCTACAATGTGAGATAAATATAAATAATTATTTCGATTTTAATTCGGTCAGGGGCGGAGCAAAGGGATCAGCCCTCGTATCTACGAACGTGTTTACTCACACATAACAAAAGTTACTTTAGCGCTGTCAAAAACGAATATGTATGTCCATTATGGAATTTAGTGTTATCTAGATTGTAAAATATGACCCACTTGGACATAAATGACGGCTGACGTGGTTTAGGTATTCATCCATTCGCTAAAATCTGTCATGAAAGCATGTCACTTGTAATACCAATGTAATCCACTTGAACCATAAATGACGCATTTTGAATTGATCATTTTGTAATATCATATAATCCTAAAAGGTGTAGGTAATGGAAAAGTGCATTTATCTTCCATTATATTTCCACAGTATTCTACTACTTCTTCTGTTTCAAATGCAAATACGAAGACAGGTAATTTGCTGTTTAACATAACAAGATTCAATTTTGTATTTTAAATTGAAATTAATTTTTTATTTTTGTCACTACGTCAATATCGTTTGAATAAATTATTTTCTTAGCAGGTATTACCTTTTAACCTTTGCTCAGACTTTAGATTATAATTCATTAGTTCTATAAATAAAAACAGTTATTTTTATATAACGCCAATTAAGGTAAAGAACTTTCAGAGCACGTGAAAGCTATCTTTTCTTTTTTTATGAACGAAATGAAAATTTAATGGGAAAACGCGTAGCGTATGAGAGAAAAGAGCAAATAATAGTAATAATAACAACAATAATAATAATAAACGGGAAGATCAATGTCGGTTTCATCATCTGCCGTCAGGAAGTAACACTTTAACACATGTTATAATCTAATTTGTGCGATTTATATTGCATCATACTGGGCACACAAATAAACATTAAAATGTTGCAACTACACTAACTTGGATTATTTAACGGTTAAATTCTTAAAATTTTGCCTTTTATGTCATTCCTTCTACTCGGGAAATGAACAATTATATGAATTGCTGTTACATGCTTCATGCTAAGTTTAAACTTCACATATTTTCTTTTAGTTAAGAGTTAAGCAAACATAAGCACCTAAATGTATCTACATTAAATGTTACCAAATCGATTGAAAAGCAAATAAAATCCAATTTTCAATATTTGGTATAACTGCCGTAATTCGGCCTTCTGCAATTTGTCCGAGTGTCAAATTGTAAACTTTTGAGTTGATTCTTTTCTTTTGTCAAGTTTTTGCGGATATGATGGCTTGTAGTCGGTTGTAAGAAGACTAGAGATAGGAGTAAAAACACATATAGTACAGTCGAAATAAGTAGGCAAAGTCCTCCTTCTTACAAACGGAAGATATCCTGTCTTTGCTCTCTAAACACGCCTCCTCCACAGCTGCGTCGAGACCTGCACCTACGTTTCATAAGAATCATTCGAATAAAATGGGACGATCGGCAACATGCTTGTCTTGTCACTTGTACCTAAAGAAAGTGGGCAAATTTACAGGGTCGGCTTAATTTGGTTGGTGTATTTGTGCGAATAGTCATCTCTCTACATATATCGTTTAAGTTATTTTTTCGTTGTAACTATTGTTGTCGTTGTTTTTGTTAGTGTTATTGTTGTTGTTATTGTTGTTTTTATTGTTAACTTTCAACGAAATGGTCCGAGAAGTTTTAAATTCTCAGAGTAGAAAACTTGTTTGGAATGTTATTAATTATTTTCAAAGAAAGAAAGAAACAAGTAGAGAAAACATCTCCGTTGGATTTTCTTATAAAAAAGACAATGGCAGAATTTTAGTAGACTCATTCAATCTGTTTTCATGTACAATCGAAATTATAGAAATATTATTGCATTGAATTATCTTAGATCTTACAATAACTTTTTCACCATACTGTAGCGCGACTACTACCTTAAGCCGATCCTGTAAATTTGCTCATTTAATGTACGTACGACAACAAGTGAAGCACGTTTTCAACCGTCTCATTCTATTTGATTGATTCTTATGAAACGTAGGTGCAGGCCTCGCAGCAGCTGTGGAGGAGGCGTGTCTAGAGAATAAAGACAGGATATCTTCCATTTGTAAGAACGAGAAAAACGATATGCCTTTAGTGTGCATTATTTATTTATTTCGACTGTACTATATATAACTAATACCGCTGAATATACTGCGTAAGCCTTAAGATCATCAGTAAAAGTTGTGCTCGATTTCACGATAGTGCGTTGCGCAGTAACACAAAAATTGATTCCCAGTCGCTCGTAGCGCAACGGATCGTGCGCTTTCTATCCTTTATTATTGATGGTGCTTTTCAGCTCATTCGTTTCCTATCTCTAGAACTCTTTATCGCTTGACT